TTCCTATGGGGGAATTTTGCTTTGCGACGATCGGTTCCCTGCTTCGGGAACCGATCATCGCAAAGTGACGATTTTCGGCCAGCTGATCGGCGGTTTCAAAATGGCCGCCGGGTAAAAAACATGGCTCCCTGCTCTTTTCTGGCACGGATTCCTCGCTGCACAGGCAGCGAAAATGGCCGTGCTATGGAGGATCTTCGCTGGACAGTGAGTTTCAAGCCCCTAGGAACGCATTAATCAGGTTTTAATGCGTTTCTATGGGCTTTTTAATTTCGCATTACGTTTTCATTCTACAGCGATTTCGCTGGAACAAATTAACGTCGTAATGCGAGGCACTACTGTAATTTGGCCCTGGCCAGGCAATAAGTAGCCATTTTGGCAATCAGAACAAGTGGTGCCAACTCCCACCACCCGGCTGGGGGGCATGGGCATGTTTTGGGATGTCAGGCCCTCCTGTCTTCCACTGCCTCCCGGAGTTGGGTCAAATTCATGTTGGTTGCTTCGCAGACACTGTCCAACCATCTCATCCTCTGTCATCCCCTTCTCCTCTTGCCTCCACACTTTCCCAACATCAGGGACTTTTCCAGGGAGTCTTCTCTTCTCATGAGGTGGCCAAAGGATGGGAGCCTTGGCTTCAGGAGCTGTCCTTCCAGGGAGCACTCAGGGTTGATTTCCTTTATGCCCCTGACTGTCTCTTCTTCCAGTCCTGTGATGGGGTAGCAACTGGAACCAGAAGGAAATGATGTCAGTGGATAAGAAGGGCCAGCTTCCCAGTTCCTCCAGAAGGAGGAGGTCGTCTGAGCAGAACAGAGGAGGAGAAGCATTTTATAGCATGAAAAGCTTTGAAGCAGTAATAAGGCTTCACAAAAAATAACAGCGCCATAACTCTGGACTTGCAAAAAAAAGTGCCCGAGGTTTTGCAGGCATAAAATTTGTAAGCTGAGCGGCATCAAGGACTGGGCTGACGGGTGGAGGGAAGGAGTCAGTGGTGAGACCTAGACCAGACAGAGATGCGTGATCCGTCTTTCAATGGCTTTTTTTCTTCCCTGCCTGAAACGTGGAGGCAGGAGAGGAGGGGAAGGGAGTGCCGTGGTGGCCTCTGGGCTCTGGATTTGATCAGAGCTGCTGCGGGGTCAGTCCTGGGCACCAGCAATAGGGGGAAATGATATTCTGGACTTGATCTCATCTGGCGCTTCTCCTCCTCACCTTTTTCTTCGGCTTTCCTCCCCATCAGAACTGTGACATGTTGGCGCCTCTCTGTCGCTTTCCATCCAGGTGAGGTAGAATTTCCGAGAAACAAAAACAATATCACCCCACCATCACGCATATCTTTGTGTGTACACCTGCTTAAAATACATTGCTTTTCTTTTTATAGTTGGAATACTTATTTATTTTATTTGCATGGGACAACAATTCACTTCTGGAGACCCTTATAGAGTTTTCAAATGATGTGAAAAGTTCACAGAGAGGGTTACAATTCTTCTCCCCCCAGTACATTTTCAGGGACAAGACAGGATTTGAACCCAGGTCTCCAGAGTCCTAGTCAAACGCTCTGTTCACTAGGCCACCCTGGTTCTGTTATTTTTTTTTTTTAACAGTCCACCTTTCTCCCAAGACCGGGATTCAGTATAGCTCACCACATGATTAAAGAACAAACACACAGAGAACACAATGTATTAGTACGGATATTAAAACACAATTAAATGGATTTTTCTATTGAAACAACAATTGAATTAAAAACTAATTTGAAGCAGTTAATTTTTTTTAAAAAAAAAACAGAAAGGTTCTTTATAAGCTTCTTTCTCAGCATCAAGTCCATGGGAATTGATACCCTATCTAATCAAAGAACTAGCATCAGAAACATACAGTGGATCCCAAATCCTTTCTGTAACTATCCCAACCAGTGCCCCTCCTCCAGATACCTGGGCTTACAATTCCCATCATCCCCATACACGATGGACACGTAGGGTGCAAATGATGGGAGTTGTCACGCAGCACATCTGGAAGTCACCTTAAAGACATCCTGGATTCTCCTCCCCGACTTTGGTGTCCATTCTCACTCTATAGGTCTATGCCTTCTCGTTTTCTAGAGATAGGAAGCCTTTTCATCCCAAGGACAGAATTCTAATTTGGAGGAGGGTTCTAGATGGCTGGATAGCTTGGTGATTTAGGTATCTAATTGCGAAGCCAGAGGTTGGGGGTTTGATTCCCCCACTGGGGCCTCCTGGGAGAAGAGCCAGCCTGGGTGGCCTTGGGCCAGCTGCACAGCAGTCCCAGGGCGCCCCCTAGAGGAAGGGAAGGGGAAACCACTTCGGAGTATTCTCTAACTGGGAAACCCTGAAAAGGGTTGCCAGAAGTCAGATTTGACTTGATGGCGCATGATTCTTCTTTCTCCTCTTGGGGTGCAGATCCAACAGTGCTGAAGACCTGGGACTGGGGCCAAAGCGGACGACGGCTCAGTGCAAAATCTTGCAAACCAGAGCTTCTGTTCTATGCAAAATCCTGCCAGCCTGCAAACCAGACCCCAAACCTCTTGTGCCCTATAAAATCTCACAGGAGCGGCAAACTAGGTCTCGTAATTTCAGGCAAAATGTTCTTTAGATTTACTCGTCCTCGCCAGGCTGCTCTGAGGAGAAGATCTGAAGTAGCCACGCGGGGGGAGAGGGCAGAATGAGGTCTGCTCCCTGCCCCATTCTGCGCATGCTCCAGAGCACTCTCTCTAGTACACTGAAGCATGGTTTCTTCACCACTGATGTCAGGGCCAAGACTTGCTGACCTTCTAGGGGGTCATTGGGAATGGGTGATATCGTTTTAGGGGAAGCACGGTGAAGGCTGGCTCGATTTTCGGGGTTAACAATGGTGGGGCTCTGCTAAATTCCTCTCTGGGTGAGAAAGGGATCCCAAAACCAGCGACACCATGCCGTGCAAAAGAACTCGGGTGCAACAGGGAGCATCTTAAAAGGATCCCACCGGAAAATGGGAACAAACTAAAATCATTGGAGGCCAATTCCTAGTCCCAGCAAGGGGTGGGGGGGTCAGCATCACATGCTCCCCCTTGAACCTATGCCTCCCAAATGCTTCTCCATTGTTGTGCAGTGGCAATCATAAATCATATTCATCTGTTACCCTCTTTTCCTCTCCCCACCCCATCCGAAATCCTTCTGCGTTTCCTGTTGATTTCCTGCCAACATCATCTCACCTCCTTCCTGCACCTCTTGTCTGCCAGCCCCCTCCGAAGTCCAGCCCCCCCCCCGTCGGGAGGGTCTGCCATTAATGCTTGGAAGCTTTTAGCAGCCCTGTGCTGTGTGCTGTGTGTGCGGGTTTGTTTGTGTTGTTTTCCTTCCCAGGGGGAAGATGCCGCGCAGAATAGCCTTAGGTGGGGGATGCATCGAACCTCGCCTGGAGTGTTGTTTTTTTTGGGGGGGGAGGAAGAGAGAGAAAGGGGGTTGGAGCCAAAGGGGGGGGTCTTGAGTCGAGAAGCGCTTTTTGGGAGAAGCTCTGCAAGAGATCTGGTGCAGAGAATCGCGCCCCTGTCCGATTCCCTGCGCCCACCCCCGCACCCCCCACCCAGTTTGCAAAGGAAGGATGAGAATTGGGACGAGCGTCGCCGGAAAAGCGGCCAGCCCACCTTCAGAAAAAAAAACAGTGTTCTGGTCGATCAGGGGTGACCTTAGCCAAACAAGTTGGCTGGGAGAGAGACGAGGACACAAGGAGGCAGGACAACAGGCTGTCCCCCCTCCCTTCCCAAATACACCTCCCTCCCTTTTTTTCAGATCTGCTCCGTCCTACTTGCTTCCCTCTCTCTCTCTTTTTCTCTGTTCTTTCTTTTCTTTTGCAAAAGCTGAACTGGGGCTAAGACTTCGCGGAAGAGTTTTCCCCCAAAGCTGGTTGGAGAGAGACGAGGACACAAGGAGGCAGGACAACAGGCTGTCCCCCCTCCCTTCCCAAATACACCTCCCTCCCTTTTTTTCAGATCTGCTCCGTCCTACTTGCTTCCCTCTCTCTCTCTTTTTCTCTGTTCTTTCTTTTCTTTTGCAAAAGCTGAACTGGGGCTAAGACTTCGCGGAAGAGTTTTCCCCCAAAGCTGGTTGGGTTGG